CAAGTACTAATCGTGACATAGATTTTCTAGGACTATGCAGAGACTGATTAATTTTGGAATAAATAATTTTACCTATTAATTACTAATTTGCATAATTAGTTATTATTTTGCTGTTCTATGGCTGTTGCACTGATGTCTAAAAACCACTCATTGGATTTCAATGAAACTTTTAAAGAGTACTCATCACATTTCAATGAACCTAGGACTATACCCCATATTAGTTTTTGGTAAATATTTATGCTTCTTAATTAACATAATTAATTAATACTGATATCTCAAGTATTGATCATCACATTTGAATAAAACTTACATAAATGCTCAAAGACAATAGACAGCCTGATTAATTTTGGGTTAAAATCTGTTCATATTAATTCTCTAATTATTATAATAATTAATATTTTCTTGGTTCTAATCACATTTCAATGAAACTTGGTACATTGTGCAGACCTTATTAGTTTTACACTTAAATCTGTTCATATTAGTTACCTTATTTGCATAATTAGTTTTCTACGTTTCCTTCAACATCTCAAGTTCAAGTAATTTGAATTAATTTTTAATGTGTCTCCAATACTCTCAGCACACGGGAGTTCTTTCTAAGCTTTCTTTGATTTGTGTATTATTTTTATTTAGCAGGTATCAAACAGAAACCGCCGAAGTGGAAAATCAACAAGAACTTCAGTTAAAGACTCTAGATAGATATCAATTGAGTGTTCAAGTGTTCAGTATTGTTTAATTTCATATACAACATGTATGTATAGTTGGATCAGGAATATCCCATGAATATCTCGTGAAGTTAGGCATATCAGTTATGCACACTCGTGATTGGCTTATGAACATCCTGTAAAGTTAGGCATAGATTTATCGTAGTTAGGCATATCAGTTATGCACACTCGGCTTATGAACATTCTGTAAAGTTAGGCATATATTTGTTGTAGTTAGGCATGTCTATATATATCGTACATACCCATTCTCTAAGCACCAACTAATTGTCAATGAGGGGTGTTCGCGAAATCTTAAATCAGTCCCTGCCACAATTCCGATAGGTACTATATGTTTTTCAATAAAACTATTATTTATAAATTACAGGAAATCTGATAAATAGCCATGGAAAAAAATTCCATGAAGATGTTGTCAGTGTAACTAGAATAAGGAATGTGATTAGCAATACAATTCTGTAAAAAGAATAAAAGCACAGAAAACAAAGCATAACGCTTTCTGATTAAGCGAGGTCATAATTATTGCTTTCCTAGGCATATTGTGGACATTTTGTGTAATTTACAAGTAAGTATATCCAGACTTATAGTTAGGCACACCATGGACATATTGAGTAGTTAGGCATATCATGGACACATTGTGTAGATAGGCATATCTACCTACATATTGTGTAGTTAGGCATATCTACCTACATATTGTGTAGTTAGGCATATCTACCTACATATTGTGTAGTTAGGCATATCTACCTACATATTGTATAGTTAGGCATATCTACCTACATATTGTGTAGTTGGGCACACCATGGACGCATTGTGTAGTTAGGCATATCTACGTACATATTGTGGAGTGTTTAATTAGCCAGTGCATTGGGCTAGTTGATGAAATACCGTGACAGGTCTATGTCTACAAAAGACTATACAGTAATATTTACTTTGGTATTTATTTCAATTTATAGATTTTCTGAATATTTTTTACATGAGTGTTTTTTTGCCTTGTAGTTGTCATTGTGTTATTAGTTTTTTCAGTGTTAGGTTTAATAGTACCTTGTTTTATGTTAACATACTTGTGAATCGGACTGCAAGCTGAAGAATCTGAGCCAGCTTTTGGAATATATATTAAAATATGCATGTATAATATGTCTGGTAAAATATCATATATAGTCATTTATTTGTTTATTGTGGCACTTTGTTACAGGGAAGTACCTGTACTTTAAGGAATAGCCTTGTGTTCAAATTTCTTACTTTGAAACTTGTTACGTAATGAAAATGAACTTTAGCAACACACGCATATGTTTTTGGTTTGATCTATGCTTGAATTTTTCAACAACAAAAATAA